AGCCGACGTCCTCAAGATGGCGCTCTTCACCACCCTGACGTTTCGAGTAGCCCGATGCCAGGCTTTAGCAATCCTAAAGACAAACTTTTTGCATTTTGCCTTTCCAGCTTATTTCTAGTTTACCAGGCATCTACAGTGCGTCTCCTAATTATACAGCCACCTAGAAATTGTTCAAAATCTCGAATTCCACAAAGTTTCTGGAAAAATGTCCAACAGGAAAACTGTGTCAAATTTGGTCGCGAATTCGAAAATCAACACAAAATTCCAGGTTGAAAATGCGAAAAAATTTTATCCTAATTTTTCCAGAAAGGGTCGCTTTTCCATGTCTCCAAATGATACAGCCACCCCGTGTTTCTTCGTTGCATTTCATTTCTGCTCGATGAAACTGATTGGCAGTCCTCAATTGTTCTTTCTTAGGTTATCAGGAAAGGAAAGCAACTATTGGACTTTGAAAAAGGGGAAATCGTCACAAAAAAGAAAAATTAAGCGCCAGGTGGTCACATTGCGCGAAATTTAGTCGAAGCTACGGAATGATTAGCAATTTCTTTTTGAATCCTGTAGGAAATGGAACTTAGAAGGGCTCCGGACGTTATTCTTTGCTTTTTGATTAAGATAAACGCGACATTATGAGAACAGCACCAAATTTCACCAAGGCGTGCTTCGGAAGTTGAGTCTTCTTTAGAACTTAATCTCCTACTGGATAGTGCTGGGTATGTACTGAATAACTTCCAAGATCGTTCTTCAGCTGAAAGTGAAAAGGCAGTGTTTTTGAAAAGAAACCATCTTGAAAAACGAGACATTTTCTGCTAGAAAAGAGTAGCCAAGACAACCGGAGGAGGATCAGCTCTTTGCCTGTTAAGTTTCACCTCCTATCTGCTTTTTCCTTCAAGTTTGTCCTTGCTAGTGAAAGCTTTCCTTCAGGACAGAACCATCTGGAGCGAAACGCGTCATAAGAAGGGCAGACGGATGGTAGGAAATAAGAAGCCGAAAACGTACCCTGCTCCGGTGGCTTGGACAGACTTCCCTTGCAAAAATGACTCGGTTTTCGCGACGGTTTCTTTTCAAAATCACCGTCTTTTTCACTTTTCACTGAAGAACGATCTTGGAAGTTTCATTGCATACCCAGCACTATCCAGTAGAGATTAAGTTTTAAAGAAGACTCAACTTCCGAACACGCCTTGGTGAAATTTGGTGCTGTTCTCATAATGTCGCGTTTATCTTAATCAAAAAGCAAAGAATAACGTCCGGAGCCCTTCTAAGTTCCATTTCCTACAGGATTCAAAAAGAAATTGCTAATCATTCCGTAGCTTCGACTAAATTTCGCGCAATGTGACCACCTGGCGCTTAAATTTTCTTTTGTGACGATTTTGATTTTTTCAAAGTCCAATAGTTGCTTTCCTTTCCTGATAACCTAAGAAAGAACAATTGAGGACTGCCAATCAGTTTCATCGAGCAGAAATGAAATGCAACGAAGAAACACGGGGTGGCTGTATCATTTGGAGACGATGGGAAAAGCGACCTTTTTGGAAAAATTGGAATAAAATTTTTTCGCATTTTCAACCTGGAATTTTGTGTTGATTTTCGAATTCGACCAAATTTGACACAGTTTTCCTGTTGGACATTTTTCCAGAAACTTTGTGGAATTCGAGATTTTGAACAATTTCTAGGTGGCTGTATAATTAGGAGACGCAGTGTACTTAGAAAAACAAAAACACTTCAGCTCCTCGAGGCGATAGCAGTGAGGCCTCTGCAACTCTTGGAGGAAAAGGAATGTGAAAGAGGAGAGAAGAGAAGATAAGATGTAAATACTATAAAAGGGCACAAAAAAGAAAGGGGTCAGTTATTTATAAGTGAAGAACGACTCAAGAAAGAGAGCGGCGGAAAAAGCCCAAGGATTCAGTAAAAAAGCTAAGGAGCAACAAGGATGAGCAATGAAAAATTTAAAGAGATATAAGTTAGACGAATTTTGCATGAACAATCACAGTCGCCACTCATGAACGACTCATGTCATACATAGACACCTCAAATATAGAGCTTTAACGGGGGTGATACTCCCAACGTTTCACGACAAAGTCGTGAAAAAACTTGCATGTTGGTTTCTCATAATCAAAGGAACCATGTGTATTGGTTTCGACGATGATCCATCTGCAGGTTCACCTACAGATACCTTGTTACGACTTTTACCCGGTTCATAGCTTCATATAGCATACATTATACGAAGTTTTCCCCCGCCATACCGCGACCGACCCGAAGGCCTCGATACAGCAGTCCGCAGTCCTCTCGAGACAGCTCAGTCCCGGACAGCGACGGGCGGTGTGTACAAATGGCAGGGACGTAATCAGCGTGAGCTGATGACTCACACTTACTAGGAATTCCTCGTTCAAGGGAAATAATTACAATTCCCTATCCCGGTCACGGAAGAGTTTCAACGGTTTACCAATGCCTTTCGGCAATGGATAGGCCAGCTGATTCTTCCATTGTAGCGCGCGTGCAGCCCCGG